AGAGGTTATGATTGGTTACTCTGACTCCGGGAAAGACGCTGGGCGTCTCTCAGCTGCTTGGGAGCTTTACAAAGCTCAAGAAGAGCTTGTGAAGGTTGCTAAGAAGTATGGAGTGAAGCTGACTATGTTCCATGGCCGTGGTGGCACAGTAGGAAGAGGAGGTGGTCCCACCCATCTTGCTATATTGTCTCAGCCACCGGACACAGTTAATGGCTCGCTGAGAGTGACGGTTCAAGGTGAAGTCATTGAACAATCATTTGGAGAGGAGCATTTGTGTTTTAGAACACTTCAGCGTTTCACAGCTGCTACTCTTGAGCATGGTATGAACCCTCCTGTTTCACCTAAACCCGAGTGGCGCGCTTTGCTAGATGCAATGGCTGTTGTTGCTACTGAGGAGTATCGATCTGTGGTGTTCCAAGAACCTCGATTTGTCGAGTACTTCCGCCTTGTAAGTACTCATTCATTCACATTTGTCCCAAGATTTATAGTTTAAAGTAACCTTAAACCATTGGTTTTGATGTGTAGGCTACACCTGAGCTTGAGTATGGACGTATGAACATAGGAAGCAGGCCGTCAAAGCGAAAACCGAGCGGTGGGATTGAATCTCTCCGTGCAATCCCATGGATCTTTGCATGGACGCAAACAAGGTTCCATCTTCCTGTATGGCTAGGATTTGGAGCAGCGTTCAAGTACGCAATCAAGAAGGATGTGAGGAACCTCCACATGCTTCAAGATATGTACCAACACTGGCCGTTTTTCAGAGTCACCATTGATCTTATTGAGATGGTGTTCGCTAAGGGAGACCCTGGGATCGCTGCATTGTATGATAAACTCCTTGTCTCAAAGGATCTATGGGCCTTTGGAGAGAAACTCAGAACCAACTTTGAAGAAACCAAGAACCTCATCCTCCAGGTACATATAAACAGAACAAAAACAGAGTACTCTGTTTCTTTTTTTTACTTGCAGTAGCCCATTAAAATCATATTCTTTTGCAGACTGCTGGACACAAAGACCTTCTTGAAGGAGACCCTTACTTGAAACAGAGGCTTAGGTTGCGTGACTCTTACATTACAACTCTCAATGTCTGTCAAGCCTACACGTTGAAGAGAATCCGTGATCAAAACTACAATGTGACTCTGCGACCACACATTTCTAAAGAGATCATGCAGTCGAGCAAATCAGCACAAGAGCTAGTCAAGCTTAACCCAACGAGTGAGTATGCGCCTGGACTTGAGGATACTCTCATCTTGACCATGAAGGGTATTGCCGCTGGATTGCAAAACACCGGTTAAGTGAGTTGAGTCAATGAGTGAAAACAAAACGTGGGAGTCACTCTTCTCCATCTCTCTTTTTTTAAGAATACTTTTTTTTTTCTCTTGGGATCCAAGTAATAAGTTAATACGGTCGGAATACAGTTTAGTTTATGTATTCACCGTTAACAAGTTTTTTATCTTGTGATTGTGTGAAACTAAACACTGCTCTGTTTCTGGAGAGTGCATGTTAAATTCTGTTTTCTTTGTTTTGACAACATGAATGAATTTGCTGTCTCTTTGTTTATTTTCTATGGCTTCACCACCTAAGTAGCCAAAAATTTTCTCTATGTACATATGGCTGATGTGTCTTTCAGATCCTAAACCGAGCAATGAATGAATCAAATCAAAAGTGATTCTCTAAACCTAACTCTCAGAGATTATTGGCAAGCTTTCCTCTTATTTTTATAATGAATAGAGCTTGTTTGAGAGTTTGATAAAGGCTATAGTGCCTCACTGAACTCTTCAGTGCTTTTTTGGTTGGGCACACAATCTCCTTCACCTGAATCCCAAGTTTGTAAATCTTGAATGTTGGCACAGCTCTCACTTTCTCTGCATCATCCACTGCTAGGGCATTTCTCAATCTCCACGACTCTACTCATTGAAACACCACAAGCAAGTTTTTACTTGGTCACATACATATGTTTAAAGCTTTGTTTTGTTTGTTTTTAAACTTGAGGAAATTTGCAGATATGGGTAACCAATACATAGTGCGTCCATAAAAACAGACATTTTGTTTGCACTGCTGGTAAGAGACTTTCATAAAATGTAATGTACAACGGTAACTCCTGCCACTGAAGCATACAAGTTAATAAGTAAAGTTCTCTCGACTGTAAAGATCAGATAAGTTTGAGATATCACTTACTGGGACGGGTCAATGCAGCTTTTTACTCTTCCAAGACTAGAAATCTCCTCAATTTCACATCCATATTCCTTGTTTAGAACCACTTCTCCACAAAATTTCATCATTGCAACTTGAGCGTGAAACAAAATTCAGCGATTTCTGTGTCATATGATATATAGTTCATTTCTTTTTTTTTTTTTTTTTTGTCAAGTTGATTGCATAAATTAAAATAAAGATTCTGGCCTCAGGCCCATACAATTAGCCCACAGAGAAAGGCAGGCCCCTTAAGGCTTGTTTAGCCAGAACATCGGCTTTAGTGTTCTGTGAACGAGGAAGAAAAGAGAAAGAGATAGCGACGAAGACAGAAGAGATTTGTTGGATATCTTGGATGATTCCAAAAATCTCTTTGATCTGAATGTCGTTGTTGATAGCTCGGATGAGCGTTTGATTGTCAGATAACATCTTAATCTTTGGGAGACCAAGATTTACTGCAGAGATAAGCCCAAGTCGGAGGGCCAGAGCTTCGGCGATGATCGGTGTGCTTACATGCTCTTGAACAGCAGATCCTTGCTTTGTGATGTCGGAATGTGGATCCGATATGTTCCANTGATCTGAATGTCGTTGTTGATAGCTCGGATGAGCGTTTGATTGTCAGATAACATCTTAATCTTTGGGAGACCAAGATTTACTGCAGAGATAAGCCCAAGTCGGAGGGCCAGAGCTTCGGCGATGATCGGTGTGCTTACATGCTCTTGAACAGCAGATCCTTGCTTTGTGATGTCGGAATGTGGATCCGATATGTTCCAGGCTAGTCCCGCCTTTTTCGATTCCTTATCCCAAGCTGCATCAGACCGGCAGAGAGGTATCTGGAGATCTACCTGTTGGTGAGTATAATTTTTATTGCTTATCAAAGAAATCCTCTTTGATGTGTCCTTAGCCCCTTGTGCGAAGCTCCACTCCCTTGCTAATCGGATAGCTTTTGTGCAGATTTCCGTAAGAGGGATGCGGTTCTTCTCGAAGATCAGCGTGTTTCTGGCCGTCCAGATACTCCAATAGACCCATGGGAGAATAGAGCCTGTGATTCCTGAGGGAGGCGCGCAGATACTCTTCCTGAAAGCAACTACTATGTCTTCAAAATCCATCTCTGTAGCTATGTGAACTACATTGTGTAAAGGTATATTTTCCCAGACTTCTTTAGCAAAAGCACACTCAAAGAAGATATGTTTTGCTGTTTCTTTTTCATGACATCTAACACATCTAGCTTGTTCTTGTATACCTCTACTTTGTAGGTTTTCCCCAAGCGGCAGTGCTCGTTGAATGATAGACCAGGTGAAAACTTTCATTTTTGGAGAGCACGCACTGGACCATACATCTCTTACCCAAGCAAATTCGTCTGGGTTCGAAGGAAGTTGAAAGCTTCTGCTCATTGAGGCTACTGAGTAGCCTGACTTTGTTGAGTACACCCCTGAGGAGGTCGGTTGCCAGATAAATATGTCCTCCGCTTTAGTTTGGCTCGGTTGCAGACACAGGACTTGCTCCGCAAGATATGGTAGTATTTTCTTTACTTTGCTTGTGTTCCACTGCATATTGTCTGTTAATAGATCAGCGACTGTTAGGTCTAGCTCAGATTCCGGTATAGGTCCGAAGGGTCTTATGTGTTCTGATAACGAAATCCAGGAGTCTTGCCACACTCTGGTTGTTTGACCATTTCCTATCGCCTTTCCAATGTACTGTCTAAGTAAATCACGTCCGTGTAGAATGCTTCTCCATCCATGAGAGCATGCTGTAGGAGCTTCTGTGTTTAGAAAACTTTGTTTATGACAATATTTGCCAAGCAAAATCCTCGCTAAGAGGCAATCTGGTTTTGTCAACATTCTCCATGCTTGCTTTGCAAGGAGAGCCTGATTGAATAATTGAATGTCTCTCAGTCCTAGCCCTCCTGCTGCTTTTGGCTTAGTCATTCTATCCCAGCTGACCCAACACATTTTCTTAATCTCCTCTGAGTCATCCCACCAGTAACGTGTTAGTACTGATTGGATTCTTTTGCATAAACTTGCAGGTAGCTCAAAACAGGACATAGAATACGTGGGAATGGCTGTGAGGACAGACTTTAACATTGTGAGCTTCCCGGCTTTAGATAGGAATCTGGTCGATCTTGTAGCTGCCCTTTGTCTGATTTTGTCCACTATGCCTGTGAATAGATCTCTTTTCTTCCTTCCAAAGTGTTCTGGTAGTCCAAGGTATTTTCCTGACCCGCCATCTTTTGTTATCTCCAAAGTCTCCTTCACTAATTCTCTTATCTCTCCTGGAGTTTTTGTTGAGAACGTAATTGATGACTTATCCTTATTAATTCTTTGACCCGAGGCCTCTTCGTACTGCAGGAGGATCTTCTTCAAAGTGAGACAATTTTCTTTTGTTGCTTGACAAAAGAACATAGTGTCATCAGCAAAGAGAAGATGATTTACTTCTGGACAGTTTCGAGCCACTTTGATTCCGCGTAAGGTTCCTAGTTCTTTAGCTCTAGTACATAGGCCTGATAGAACTTCATATAGTTCATTTCTTAAGGTTTCATAATATAGGCTCACTGCTTCAACCCATCTCTCCAGCTATAGTTTTCACAAGAAATAGCTTTAGAACAAGTAAAACGCCAAAACTAAGTCATACCATACATATACAGATGTTACATAACGATATGAATTAACTTTATTTATGGTACAGAAAAAAAGTTATGAAATAGTATAAGCTTTAATCGGTCGAAATTGCAGTTAGTTCAATCGTATACTTGTACAACAAGGAATCAATCCAAAAGTTGGGTTACACAAAAAAAATGACTAACCCTAGTTTTTGTAAAAGCCTAAAGCCGTTTAAGCGAATGATAAACTCTCATCTCTTTTCTGCTCATTGCCCACCTAAAAAGTATAAAGCAGAGTAACTGAAAAAAAGAAGTCTGGTACAATCTGTGTCGCCTCGGTTCTTCGAACATAAAAGGAGATATGTCAGACGTAAGATTCACTCATCTTCCGATGGCAAAGTCGGGCTCTTTGAGCAGCTCTCTTTCTTGTGAAGTTCCAACATTCTTTTCTCTGGGTTACAAAGACCTACAACAGTAACACATATACAATCCAAGATAGTGATTAACTTTTTAAAGAAAGGCTTATGCAAAGCGGATCTGGATGTATGTGAATATGGAACCTGAGCATTTTGGTATATCCCAAACAGCGATGGAGGAGGGTGAGCAGTCTGGTTCACAAAGGGTCTTGTGGTTCTCGTGGTTAACGTTCATTGCCAGCATCCACGCACCTATTGTCACGTCCTCGTTGCTAAACATCCTGAAACTGAAGTTTGAAAATATCTCTCTCAATTACACAAAAAGGCTAAACAAAAAAAAGGGCTCTATCTGTAATGACGAACAGAGACTTATTCGAGAGAGAAACGAAAGTCCTAACATTAACTCATGAAGACTTCAAAGACGAGTAAAATAAAGGAGACAAGACTTGCCTGTTGTTCTTTAAGGCAACTAAACTGGTGACAACATCTGCAGAAAGAGCGTATATAGGGCCATAGGCATGAAGAAAGTACTCTTGACCAAGCAAATCTGACAAAGGTTCATACCTGCAAAACTCCAAGTTTATTATTGAAGCACAAAAGAGATGATTACATGTTTTAAGTCCGACCATATCTCAAAGCTTCTCAAAAGAAAAGCATGTTTGGTTAGTTCTTCATTCTAACTTTTTTTTCCTGTCCTTACCATTTAAGCTTTGGATCTGTGAAAACAGGACCTTTCTTCAGGCATCCAAGATATGTCTGGGAGTGACTCCTCTCTTTAGCCAACAGCAAGGACAACCGATCTGTGAAATAAAACAACAGCCTCATATATCATCCACCATTAATGCAAAACTTAGAGAATACAATCAGTTACCTGGCCTCAAATATATATCATCATCAGCTTTGACATAAAACGCTGAATCATACAACGCATATGCAGCTTTAAAGAAAGCCAAACTATATATAAAGAAATATGTAAAAGACAATGGATCAGAGTTTTTCGAGTTATCTGTCAAGACAAGATTATGATTCATGTGAAACAGAGAGAAAGTGTTACACTCTCTAACACTAACGTTTTATATGGGAGCTTACTGTACTCCTCCTCGATATCAAGCAGTATGAAGTCATCGTACTCCGAGATCTCTCTTCTAAGCTCAGCCATTTTCGCTTCATCTTTGGTTTTGCCTATTATAAACCTGATGGCTAATCCCGTTGACTCCTCTAAGCTGCAGAGAGCAGTCAGTGAGATAGTAAAAAGTCCCAAAGAATGACGAATTATTGAATATAACAACTCAAAAATCATGTGGACAAGATAATTCCATAATTAAGTTGAATACTGCAGTAACTAACTAATGTTACTATCAGATTCTAAGGCGTATCAACCGATCATGTGAGAGTGTATATGATAATATCAGAAGAATGTTTTTAAGGTTAGAGATTATGATGAATGAATGATCAGATTCATATCTAGGGGATTGAATCCAGATCAAATCAGTGTAGATGATGCAAACAGTTTCAATCATTCTGCTTAAAAAGTGATTTTCAGAGAACACTAAAGCTTAGCAGAGATGATAAATAGTTCAATGATCAGTACCGTCGAATCCCTTGTGGATCAGACGGCATCCACGTGTTCCTTAACGCTCGTCTCCTCCCAGCTGAACCGAACCCGGTTTGGATCCCAACGAATCCCATCACCTTATGTCTCTTCACTCCACCGCTAATGCTATTTCCAGCTACGTTCCAGAAGACGCGTACCGTCTTTGGAGGAGAGCTGGTGAGGCAGGTCCGTCCGGATAACCGGATACTCGGGAAAATAATGGCGGAGAGTCCAAAGAGGAATCCGAAGAGCCCGATCGCTAGAGAGGTGATGACGATCATTGACGTGGGTCGGCGCGTTGGACGCGCGTGGAAGAGCTTCAGCCTCGGAGAAGATGGCATGGTTTTTGTAACGGGACCAGCTCCAAGCTTGTTTCTGTCTTAACGGTCGTTAGTAGTGGAGGTACGGATGTTCTGTTTCTCTAAGATCAGTTGGATCCTGTTTATTCGGATCCGGATCCTTTTTCAAGATGCACGCACGGGTTTTAATGTGTATGAAAAAGTTATGAATATAAAGTTTAAGAACATTAATGATTTTTTTTTTTGTCAACAAGAACATTAATGATAATAAACAGAAGTTAGGTAGACTTGACCAAACATAACAAGACTAATAATATTGTTAAGAAAATAGAAATTAATTACTTCCTTCCATTTCAGTTTACATATCGTTGTAGAAAAAAATTTATGTTCAAAATAAGTGTCGTTTTATAATTTTGATATAGAATTTATTAATTTTATATATTTTTCTATTTTTTAATTAGTTGAAATGTGGTTACGTGTATAGATAATTGTATTTTTATTTTGAAAATATATAAAATTAAATATTGTTTTAATTTATGTATAAAACCCTAAAACAATAATTAAAATAAAACGGAGAGAATAGTAGTTATTTATTGTAACTGATGTCAATGGAAAACATTTACCTTTCATGGTGGCGAAAACGGTTTTGGCACTAGTTAATAAAAGATGTTTACAAGTTTTTGTAGATCGAGAATATGAGATTCACTTTATACAATATATATGCAGAATTTTTGAGGAATTTTTTGGAACTTTCAACTGAGAGTACAGATCTTCCACAAGAATGTTTTCAAAAGTGATTAGGATGTCTTAACCATGCGATGATAATGTCTTACTCAAACCAACGAGAGTGTCATCATATGTATGATTTCCCCTTTCATTACGAAAGCTACCTTGGTTCGCTTCAACTCCAATCAACAATGTAATTTTAAATCTTATAATAATGTTATCTGTCATAATTATTATTATGTAAACCAAAAGCAAGATTGAAGAAGTGGCAAGAAAACAGAGTGAAAGAGCGGTCATAGTTTACATATCTCTTATATTAATCTGAATCTTAATTCGGAGCTATCAGTGTCTAAGTTGTTCATCAACACAAAGCAACATCTTATCACTTTAACATTATTTACTACTACACCACTAACTTGTCTTTCTTCTTCTACGGCTGCAGAGAATCAAGAAGGCTATTCTCTGTCACTTCTTCTTCTGAAAACTTTGGCCAATCTTCTTCTCCCATGGAGGCTGTTGTCTTAGTTTACCGAATGCCAAGCGGAATAAAGACTTTATCCACCACAATGACGTGTATAAGTACATGGTCAATTTCCACCAATCAGTGCTTGCCACATCGAAATAAACTGCCTTTTTATCGCTACTCACGTCAACCTTTTTGATCAAAGTGATGAGAAAAGTCGTGAATGGCGTTTGTCACTTGAGCCTCCTCCTCTCGCTATTTTAGCCTCACCAGTGACATTCCTCTCCTCTTCCACGGTGACTCTACAGCTTTCTCTAAATCGAATATTTGTAAACTATGGCTTCATCTGCAAAGAAGGTGGGATCTCGTTGTTATTAACTCCTCCTTGTACGTAACGGATCTTTTATTTGCTTTTCGTAGGTTCTCTTGGTATTGATCCGAGTTTTTTTTTTTTTTTTTTGTTAGGTTTTGATCCCTATTGCTCATGGTACTGAACCCCTAGAAGCGGTGGCGATGATCACCGTACTGCGACGAAGTGGTGCTTACGTGACGGTGGCTTCCGTTGAGAATCAGGTTGGCGTTGATGCTTGTCATGGTATCAAGATGGTCGCCGACACTCTCCTCTCTGACATTACCCACTCCATTTTCGACCTTATCATGCTCCCCGTAAGTCTCTATCTAACTAATGAGATGGTCCGAACGAATTGTTAGTTTTTTTACCTCAAACACACACAAAGGAACATGTTAATAATATATACCTTAGGAAAGCAATCAATTAGCAATGTGAAACTACTACATAGATTATGATGGTTTCTGAAATACCTTAGGAAATGGTTTTGCTGATATTATACATTTGATTATATGATTGGTTAAAAAGGGAGGGCTTCCCGGCGGCGAGACTCTTAAAAACTGCAAACCTTTAGAGAAAATGGTTAAGAAACAAGACACTGATGGACGACTTAACGCAGCTATCTGTTGTGCTCCTGCTTTGGCTCTTGGTACTTGGGGTTTACTAGAGGGTAAAAAAGTAAGTCAGTATCAAACAACCTTACTAGTAATATTATTTATCTTGTTTTCAGTTCTTGTCTTAATATATCATGGGGTTTTCTTGCAGGCAACATGTTACCCTGTTTTTATGGAGAAACTTGCGGCTACTTGTGCCACAGCTAGTGAGTCAAGAGTTGAGATAGATGGAAGGATAGTGACCAGTAGAGGACCAGGAACAACCATTGAATTCTCTCTCACGCTTATTGAGAAGTTGTATGGGAAACAGATAGCTAATGATGTCTCTAGCATTATTTTGGTATGTTTCTGTCTCTACTCTCTTTCATCAGCAACATAGTAATACGGTGTTCAAACTTTCTTTCTCGTCTCCTCTTGAACTTACTTGTTCTCTTTACTGAAAATCAGCTTCCTCGTCCTAACCCTGGTGAGGAGTTTACCTTCACCGAGCTTAACCAAACGAATTGGACATTCGAAGAGACCCCACAGGTATATATAATATGCTCATTTACCTCTCCATTTTTAGCTTTTATAAATACATTGCTAGACAAGAAAGATGATGTTTTCTTGTTTCAGATTCTTGTTCCTATTGCTGAGGGCTCAGATGAAATTGAAGCTATAGCCGTAGTAGACATCCTAAGGAGGGCAAAAGCAAACGTTGTGATTGCTTCAGTTAGCAACAGTTTGGAAGTTGTAGGATCTCACAAAGCTAATTTAGTCGCAGATGTGCTTCTTGATGAGGTTCTAGAGAAGTCGTTCGATCTGATTATGTTGCCTGTGAGTACTTACTTTCATATAAAGTTTCAAGATTTATTGAAAAATAGTACAAAAAAAAGCAAACATCTAACTTCGTTGATATGTATCATATTCAGGGAGGTCTTAACGGTGCTTCAAGATTGTCACGCTGCCAGAAACTGGTGAATCTGTTAAAGAAACAAGCTGAAGCAAACAAACCATATGGAGGAATCTGCGCGTCCCCTGCTTACGTCTTTGAGCCTCATGGTTTACTCAAGGTGTAACATTATGAAAACGTTTTTTTTTTTGACTATGAAAACATTACAGTTCTTCTTGTTATATATCTTGAACTGAGATGTAAGAGACATGTTTTGTATAGGGTAAGAAGGCAACTACACACCCAGTGGTGAGCAACAGACTTTCGGACCAAAGTCACGTTGAGCACAGAGTCGTGGTGGATGGAAATCTCATAACAAGCAGAGCTCCAGGGACTGCAATGGAGTGTGCACTTGCGATTGTTGAGAAGTTTTACGGGCGAGAGAAAGCTCTTCAGCTCGCTAAGGCAACACTTGTGTAAGAATGAAGTGTGACGTTAATAAAAGGGTTTAGTTCATCTCTTGACTGATGTTGAGTGATATTGTAATAAGAACTTTGGCTGGAGTAAGTGGGTAATTTATAGCTATACTAAACATGTAATTTATGTTTTTAAGGCATACTAAGTGTTTTCCCTGCAGATGGTCATAATCATCTTACAAATCAACTCAAAAATAAGGAGAAATATGATCAAACCGTTCAACCCATCAAGCAATGTCAAGAGAAATATGCATAGAAACCATCGACCACCTATGGTCAGATTCAAGCACAAAATATTCGAGTAACTCTTGAAATTTATTTTGATGCTCGAAAACCAACTTCCCGTTGAAACTAATGTGTCATGATGCTTAGAAGACCAATATGATATAAATATTAGATGTCAAAAATATATCTATTTTCTATCATAATGAACTATTTCAAAGGTAAACCAAAGTACATCATTATCATTTGTTTTTCTTCCATATAAATGTTGCAAGATAGTATATCCTTGGTATTCAAATGGTAGTGCCATAAACAATGACTATCTTTCACAATAGGCAAATGGGTGATGTTGAAAGATATAATTCACCAATATCATTCTTCACATTTAATCTCTAGGGTAAGGACTAGTTATTTTCAAACTAAATTCATTTTTAACTAATCTTCAAACACATGACTTTTTTATGTCATGTGCTAGAATATAGTCAAAGTAAATTTTCATCATGCATCAATTTTATACAAAAGTATGATATTTAGTAAATAAAAAAAAGCTTGGTTTCTGATTTTAGTACAACTATATACGGTTGTGAATTACAAATTAACATAACCACCAACCATTTGAGAGTTCAGACATTCTTCTCACCTTATCTTGAATAAAAAATTTCATAATATCACCAGATTGATTATAGGATGAAAACGATACAAAAAGAAAGTGGAAAAATTTGAAGTAATTAATGATATCTCAATTTGTTAACTCACATACGTATACGGTTCTACCAAATCAATAGTCAATCCTTCTTTAATTAATTAAAATCAAATCATAGAGCAAAAGTAGTACATGATGATGACTTTACTTTGGCTATATCCCATCACAAAAAAATTAATTAGTTTTGTAACTAATTTCAAGCAGACATCCTGGCTTTTCAACATAGTCGTTTCTAGTCACATCTTGCCTATCTTCAGACAACCAATCCTCCACCTCCTGCAGCTGGGCCAAGAATGCTTCTACGTCTGAGTCAGACATATATTTTTTGTATATGTTACTTAACTGAAAACTAAACACACATACATTAATACTCTTTCAATGCAAATAAAAATGAGCCAAAGCAAAAAATTATCACTTTATTTCGTCTGTCATTAACATAGGCTTCTACACACGAAGACATCAAATAATTATGATTGATTATGAAATAAAGAAACTAAGGTAAAAAACACCATACACAAAGTCAGATCTTTAGTTTAGTCTAGTATTGTTTTTCTATATAGAGTTTTCATATTAGACCAAGAATTAGAAACATAACTAGATTGATAGAAGAAACCATAAAAGCTTTAAAATAAAAGAACATTTACGGAATCGATTGGAAAATCAAAAGAGAATTCAAGTGTCGAGTAAAGAGATCAAATTATTTTCGACGTAACCCTAACTCCGCTTTCTTTGATTGTATTGTGCTCTTTACTATATTTACAATTTTTTTTATAAGAAAGTACATGTCATTGGTTATAGACTACGTTAATTTTGCAACATGTCGAACAAAATTGAAACAACGCTCAACCATTTATTGGTATTCTTAAAGTATAGTCGAATAATTATGTATGTAAAATAAGTCCATATTATTTGTTTTACATTTATTTTATTTTACTTTATATTAGTAGAAGAAAATAAATCTGTATGAAATATCTAGATCCAGAGAACCGAACCAAACTTGATTTGAAAATAATATTAAAACACAAATTAAAACTGATTAACTCATATGGGTACCAGAATTGAACCCACAATGATTCGAATAATTCCAAACCAAAAATTTTAAATATCTGAATCAAATTTTGAATTTCTAACTTTAAAAATCCAAAATCTGAATAAATCATCTAAATTCAAACGAATATTTGAATGATCATCCTAGAAAAAAAAAAATATGACATATCCCTTCGTACAACATAATATGAATAATCTAATCAATTATATGGATCACTAGGTACTAAATTAGTTATTTTAGCAACAAAAAAAAAAACAAATTCACAAATGAGTCTTAACAAATATAAATGAGCTACTCTTTACTCATCCCGTTTAAAACAAACGGGTTAAAATGAGTACTAATTCAAATGGAGCTTCAACAGACATCATTTAAATGGGCCAGTGTAGCCCATTTAAACATCTCCACGCTCGAGCTATGTATTAGTTTAGTAACGAAATACCGACAATACCCTCGAATGAGTGTCTCCACTATTAAACCATCACAAAACCTTTGATTACAGCTAAACTTCTAGGGTTTTGCATCATCCATGGCGACGCACACCATTTCTCGCTCCTTTCTTCGTTCTCCCACGAAATCTCTATCCACTCTCTTCACTCGATCATTCTCTTCATCCGCTCCTCTCGCTAAAACCACCCCGGCGTCCTCTCTGCTCACCCGATCCCGTCCCCTCGTCGCCGCCTTGTCCTCCGTCGCTCGCGGTGGCTTCGTGTCTTTGAAAGGTCTTTCGACGCAGGCTACGTCGTCTTCTCTTAACGATCCGAATCCGAATTGGTCGAACAGGCCGCCTAAGGAGACGATTTTGCTGGATGGATGTGATTTTGAGCATTGGCTTGTGGTAATGGAGCCGCCTGAGGGAGATCTTACGAGAGATGAGATTATTGATGGGTATATCAAAACCCTAGCTCAGATTGTTGGCAGGTAAAAACCCTAAATTCAAAATTTATTCTTTTAGGAGATTTTAGGATTTGAATAAATTTAGAAAGGAATTGTTTTTTATTTTATTTTGAATGTTGTAGTGAGGAAGAAGCGAGGATGAAGATTTATTCGGTTTCAACTCGGTGTTACTTTGCTTTTGGAGCTCTTGTGTCTGAAGATCTTTCTCACAAGCTCAAAGGTAGCTTTAGTTTTTGCTATTTTGTGTTTGAAGCTGCCTTCTAATTGTTTTTTTTTTTTTGTAATTCTATAGAGTTGCCAAAGGTGCGGTGGGTTCTTCCTGATTCTTACCTTGATGTGAGGAACAAAGACTATGGAGGTAAGCGTTTGTGTGTTTTCTGTATTACAAACTGAGAATAAAAGAAGTTGCTTTGCTATTCTCAGTTATACTTGCTAGTTTTGTATTGTCTGTAAGGGGAAGTATGAGTTGTTTTAGTCTTCACTCTGATTCGTTACTTTTTCCATGCCCTTGTATTAAATTGTCACATTGGCAACTTTATATCTAGTTAGCTAACATTTCTGTAAATCTTACTGGATTAGTGATTGTCAGAATTTCGAGGCTGGGGTAGTAGAAATTGCATTGATGTTGCTTCGTAGAGAGCTTAAATCTTTCTGGTGATTTTATCAGAGGGTTAACTTGATGGGTTTTTTCTTTATATTTGATTTCAGGGGAGCCTTTCATTGATGGGAAGGCTGTTCCTTATGATCCTAAGTACCATGAGGAATGGATAAGGAACAATGCAAGAGCAAATGAAAGAAATAGGCGTAATGACCGTCCTCGCAACTTTGATAGAAGCAGGAGCTTTGAGAGGAGAAGAGAGAACCCGGCAGGAGGCCCTCCTCAACGTTCTCCCATGGGCTCTGCACCTCCTCCACCTCCTCACATGGGTGGCTCTGCACCTCCACCACCTCACATGGGGCAGAACCACGGGGGACCACCACCTCCACAGAATAACATGGGAGGACAAAGGCCGCCACCAAACTATGGAGGAGGCCCACCTCAGAACAACATGGGAGGACAGATGCCACCAGCAAACTACGGAGGAGCACCACCACCAAACTATGGAGGACCACCACCACCAAACTATGGAGGAGCGCCACCACAGAACAACATGGGAGGAGCACCACCACCACCAAACTATGGAGGAGCACCACCGCAGAACAGCATGGGAGGAGGTCCACCAAATGCAGGATGGTCAGGCAACAACTACCAGCAGCAGAGTGGTGGAATGCAGCAGCAGCCACAGTACCAAAACAACTATCCACCAAACCGGGATGGCAGCGGGAACCCTTACCAGGGTTAGATGTGTAGATAATCTGAGGAAGGGAGGGTGAGTGCAATAGCAAGGCTTAGAGCCTCCTGCCATCAGTAGTTATCAACCTGGTATCTTGTGAGAGATAATAGCCTCTAGTAAACTGTGGCATGGTTTAAACGTTTTCTGTTGCGTCTTTTATTTTTTTATTTTATATCCTAAATCTACGTTGTTCTTAAGTGGTTCACGTGTAGGCTATGTGTTACTGATTTATCCTTTAGTAATTCCTCGTTGGATTATGCTCCTAGTTAAAAGATCGTTACGTCGCTGTTTGGCTCTTTTCTGGTCGAGCTCCAAACATGTGTTCCTGACTGCTTGTGGAGAATGCTCAAAAATTACATTAGAAACCTTTCTCAGTAAGGAAGGATAGTGTCAACATATTATGAAATTACCAATAGGTGCTTCGTCTTATCTGAGCTTGGTAGAAATGATTGCAAGTGGAGGTTCTACAATTAAGGTGATTATGTGATGCTCAATTGCGCCCTCTAGTTACGCTACTTAACCAGTCACATTGCCTAAAATGATAAACAAATCAAAGCCTCCCTTTCAAATTCCATTAAGTTGCATAAGATTTTCACTGTCAAAAGTAGGGTTGGGTTGCGGGTCAAATCCGCCCCGCCAACCCGCGGGTTTTAGTTATTTATTTTGTCAAAAAATCCGACCCGCATAACCCGCAGACGTATAAATTTACACCCGCATCCGCCCCGCTTAATTTTGCGGGTAACCCGCGGGACCCGCGGGTTATATATATATTTTTACAAATTAATTTTTTAATTTATTTTTTATGAAAAAATAATATAAATAACATATTTATAATAAAATTATATATTTTATTTTTTTTAATCATTATTTTTTTTTAAAAACACCGTATTTAAAAAAAAAATTTATTTTCCATAAAAATACTATTTTCTAACAAAAAAAACACAATTTAAAAAAAAAAATGAAAATTTTTTTTTTGCGGGTTGGCGGGTACCCGCGATTCAAAATCCTCCAACCCGCACCCGCCCCGCATAAAATATTCATAACCCGCACCCGCATCCGCCAATCGATTTTTTCAAATTGTTCAACCCGCACCCGCCCCGCAGCGGGTAAAACGGGGCGGGTCCCGCGGGTAATGAATCATATTCCCAGCTCTAGTCAAAAGTAGATATCCAAAGACTGAATCTAAGGACAAATATGTACTTTCAGTTTGAAAAATCCACTTAAATTCAAAACTATGTTTTTGCTTCTTTTGATTATTGATTTTGGACTAAAAAAACTTTAGGTTCATGCTGATGCTCTTGTATTGCTACTTTCTCCGGCTTTCCAATTGAATTAATCATCTTCCTCTGCAGAGCCTATTAAAAAGAAAATCAATGAATAAACTACTTACTGAGAATAACTTTGTAGTGAAAATATACTGTTGCTAATGCTCTAATGTATGCTATGATTCTTCTTCATTTTGGCGCTCTATTCTTCTTTTTGATATCCTTTTTTATCTGCCTTGGAGTATTGATTTATTTACAGACAGATGAAGAAAGTGTACTTGTGGTATTGTTGGATCACGAGCCCTTCTGTCTTTTTGATTTTCATTACTTTGATGAATAAATACATGTCAAAAGATGTGAGAGAGTGAGAGGACATTATGTCCCTTCTCAATGTCTCACCTTTTCTTTTCCTTCTATTTTTAATAAACAAAATAAATATTGTGGAAACAAAATGCTTTAGTAGATTTTTTTTTGCTTTAGTAAATTACTACGAAACATATCTATATAGTTCTCTTAAATTAGGTTATTTTCTTTTCATCAAGTTCTATTCAATGTGATGTTGTTATTTTTCTTGAACTATAATAAGTGTGTCTTAATAAATCAGAAGTAATCAATATTGGAGGATAATCACAACAACAACAACAACAAAATATGTGTAGTAAATATAAATAGAGACCCTTCGAAAGTGACAAATAATATCGAATAAAACAAAATAATTATATGATAGCGAATGGACGAAGGGTGTTTAATATCTATTCTATAAAACAAACAAATAAATGTTGAAAAAAAAAAACCAGATATGTTAAAAATAAGGAAATGTAAATCAAAATTTTATGTCTTTGAGAATAGTGGAAACATCTAGACAACTGGATTTTTCTAGAACTGATCCGAATGGTAGGTACTACGCAGTACGCACGTATTTGCCAGTCGTGGTAAAACCGTAACAATCATAATTTCGTTTGGTAATCTATACTATTATTTGCGAAGTGATTTTTTGCAACGGAGCTCTCACGTTAAAAGTTAGAGTGGTTAATATCGATTATATCCTTAATGAATAAAATATATAAATTAGCCGAATATAAAAACGAATTTAATACTTATTTGATTAGATAAATGATTTAAATTAATAATAATGTTAAGAATTATCCATAATCTAAATATATATTTAAAAGAAAAAGATAATTCTTATATATATTGTGTTGTTATCCGGAAAATATATTTAATTAAAAAAAACAAAAAAACACATAAATAAGTATTCATAAAATAAAAATTTTAATTTTTATATAATTCAAAAGAGAAAATTGAAAAAAATATAATACAAAATTTTTATTAAAAGAATATATAATAATAATAATTATTATTTGCGAAGTAATTTTTCACAACGGAGCTCTCACGTTAAAAGTTGGAGTGGTTAATATCGATTATATCCTTAATAAATAAAATTTATAACTTAGCCAAAAATAAAAACTAATTTAATACTTATTTGATTATATAAATGATTTAAATTATAATAATGATAAGAGTTATCCATAATCTAAATATATATTTAAAAGAAAAAGATAATTCTTATATATATATTGTGTTGTTATCCGGAAAATATATTTAATTAAAAAAATTCAAAAAAAAACACATAAATAAATATTNTAGCCAAAAATAAAAACTAATTTAATACTTATTTGATTATATAAATGATTTAAATTATAATAATGATAAGAGTTATCCATAATCTAAATATATATTTAAAAGAAAAAGATAATTCTTATATATATATTGTGTTGTTATCCGGAAAATATATTTAATTAAAAAAATTCAAAAAAAAACACATAAATAAATATTCATAAAAAAAAATTTTTAATTCTATATAATTCAAAAGAGAAAATTGAAAAAATATAATACGAAATTATTTATTAAAAGAATATAATAAAATAATGATATATGTATATATTTGTGAAGTTATTTTTCTGAACTCACACGCTAAATTAAATTTATATTTATATAGTTAAACCTTAAACATGAATTAATCATATAAAATAAAAGGTCATTAAAAAAGAAAGAAAATACGTGTTCGATAAAAATATATTGTATTATTATCTAAACAAATATTATTCTTTTTGTACGATTAATTTTTGAATGTTTATTTATCGATTCAGTTTTTCAAATGTAAAGATAGATTTCTATATTTTTTATCAATTAAGAAGAAATGAAATAGACTTTAGATTTTTCAAAGTTTTAAAGGAAAAAAATATTTTTTTTTTAATTTGTGAATAACTTTATCATGTAGAAAAGTTTAATGTTTTCGGTCAAATTTTTTAGATGCAAATTTTTTAAATTGATTAAAAGATAATTAAGCCCACGGAGCTCTCACGTTAAAAGTTAGAGTGCTATTATTTGCGAAGTGAATTTTCGCAACGGAGCTCTCACGTTAAAAGTTAGAGTGGTTAATATCGATTATACCCTTAATGAATAAAATATATAAATTAGCCAAATATAAAAACGAATTTAATACTTATTTGATTAGATAAATGATTTAAATTAATAATAATGATAAGAATTATTCATAATCTAAATATATATTTAAAAGAAAAAGATAATTCTTATATATATTGTGTTGTTATCCGGAAAATATATTTAATTAAAAAAACAAAAAAACACATAAATAAGTATTCATAAAATAAAAATTTTAATTTTTATATAATTAAAAATAGAAAATTGAAAAATATAATACAAAATTATTTATTAAAAGAATATATAATAATTATTATTATTATTTGCGAAGTAATTTTTCACAACGGAGCTCTCACGTTAAAAGTTGGAGTGGTTAATATCGATTATATCCTTAATAAATAAAATCTATAACTTAGCCAAAAATAAAAACTAATTTAATACTTATTTGATTATATAAATGATTTAAATTATAATAATGATAAGAGTTATCCATAATCTAAATATATATTTAAAAGAAAAAGATAATTCTTATATATATATTGTGTTGTTATCCGGAAAATATATTTAATTAAAAAAATTCAAAAAAAAACACATAAATAAATATTNTAGCCAAAAATAAAAACTAATTTAATACTTATTTGATTATATAAATGATTTAAATTATAATAATGATAAGAGTTATCCATAATCTAAATATATATTTAAAAGAAAAAGATAATTCTTATATATATATTGTGTTGTTATCCGGAAAATATATTTAATTAAAAAAATTCAAAAAAAAACACATAAATAAATATTCATAAAATAAAATTTTTAATTCTATATAATTCAAAAGAGAAAATTGAAAAAAATATAATACGAAATTATTTATTAAAAGAATATAATAATATAATGATATATGTATATATTTGTGAAGTTATTTTTCTGAACTCACACGTTAAATTAAATTTATATTTATATATTTATATAGTTAAACCTTAAATATGAATTAATCATATAAAATAAAAGATCATTAAAAAAGAAAGAAAATACGTGTTCGATAAAAATATATTGTATTATTATCTAAACTAATATTATTCTTTTTGTACGATTAATTTTTGAATGTATATTTATCGATTCAATTTTTCAAATGTAAAGATAGATTTCTATATTTTTTATCAATTAAGAAGAAATGAAATAGACTTTAGATTTTTCAAAGTTTTAAAGGAAAAAAATATTTTTTTTTTAATTTGTGAATAACTTTATCATGTAGAAAAGTTTAATGTTTTCGGTCAAATTTTTTGGATGCAAATTTTTTAAATTGATTAAAAGATAATTAAGCCCACGGAGCTCTCACGTTAAAAGTTAGAGTGGTTAATATCGATTACACCCTTAATAAATAAAATATATAAATTAGCCAAAAATAAATACGAATTTAATACTTATTTGATTAGATAAATGATTTAAATTAATAATAATGATAAGAATTATCCATAATCTAAATATATATTTAAAAGAAAAAGATAATTCTTATATATATTGTGTTGTTATCCGGAAAATATATTTAATTAAAAAAAATAAAAAAACACATAAATAAGTATTCATAAAATAAAATTTTTAATTTCTATATAATTCAAAAGAGAAAATTGAAAAAAAT